TATCATTACATTTCCTAAAGAAGAAATCAATTTTAAAAAATTAACACAGAAATCTTTACATATCTCACAAGTAAAACAATCGTTATTACCTCACCAGTGATACATTCGTTACCGTATCTCACCAGTGAAACAATCGTTATCATATCTCACCAGCGAAACAATCGTTACCGTATCTCACCAGTGAAACAGTTCGTTACCGTATCTCACCAGCGAAACAATCGTTACCGTATCTCACCAGCGAAACATTCGTTACCGTATCTCACCAGCGAAAAAATCGTTACCGTATCTCACCAGCGAAACAATCGTTACCGTATCTCACCAGTGAAACAATCGTTATCATATCTCACCAGCGAAACAATCGTTATCATATCTCACCACTGAAACAATCGTTATCAAACCTCACCAGCAAAACAATCGTTATCATATCTCACCAGTGATACAATCGTTATCATATTTCAACAGCGAAACAATCGTTATCATATCTGACCAGCGAAACAATCGTTATCATATATCACCAGTGATACAATTGTTATCATATTTCACCTGCGAAACAATCGTTATCATATCTGACCAGCGAAACAATCGTTATCATATCTCACCAGTGATACAATCGTTATCATATCTCACCTGCGAAACAATCGTTATCATATCTGACCAGCAAAACAATCACATTATATCTCACCAGTGAAACAATCATTATCATATCTCACCAGCGAAACATTCGTTACTATATCTCACGAGTGATACAATAATATTATATCTCACCAGTGAAACAATCGTTTTTATATCTCACCAGGGAAACATTCGTTACTATATCTCACGAGTGATACAATCGTTTTTATATCTCACCAGTGAAACAATCGTTATTATATCTCACCAGTGAAACATTCGTTATCATATCTCAGCAGTGAAACAGTTGTTATCATATTTCACCAGTGAAGAAATTGTAATCATATCTCACCGATGAAGCAATATTTATCATATATCTCAACCAGCGAAACAATCGTTATCATATCTCACCACTGAAACAATCGTTATCAAACCTCACAGCAAAACAATCGTTATCATATCTCACTAGGGATACAATCGTTATCATATTTCACCAGCGAAACAATCGTTATCATATCTGACCAGCGAAACAATCGTTATCATATCTCACCAGTGATACAAATCGTTATCAATATCTCACCTGCGAAACAATCGTTATCATATCTGACCAGCGAAACAATCATTATCATATCTCACCAGTGATACAATTGTTATCATATCTCACCAGTGAAACAATCGTTATTATATCTCACCAGCGAAACATTCGTTATCATATCTCACCAGTGAAACAATCGTTATTATATTTTACTAGTGAAACATTCTTTATCATATCTCACCAGTGAAGCATTCGTTATCATATCTCACTATTGAAACATTCGTTATCATATCTCAGCAGTAAAACATTCGTTATCATTTCTCACTAGTGAAACATTCGTTTTCATATTAAACCAGTGAAACATTCGTTATCATATCACTAGTGAAACAATCGTTATAATATTCTACCAGTGAAGCAATCGTTATCATATCTCACCAGCGAAACATTTGTTACTATATCTCACCAGTGATACAATCGTTAATCTATCTCACCAGTGAAACAATCGTTATTATATCACAACAGTGATACAATCGTTATCATATTTCACCAGCGAAACAATCGTTATCATATCTCACCAGTGATACAATCGTTATCATATCTCACCTGCGAAACAATCGTTATCATATCTGACCAGCGAAACAATCGTTATCATATCTCACCACTGAAACAATAGTTATCAAACCTCACCAGCAAAACAATCGTTATCGTATCTCACCAGTGAAACAAACGTTATCATATTTCACCAGCGAAACAATCGTTATCATAATCTCACCAGTGATACAATCGTTATCATATCTCACCTGCGAAACAATCGTTATCATATCTCACCAGCGAAACAATTGTTATCATATCTCACCACTGAAACAATCGTTATCATATCTGACCAGCGAAACAATCGTTACTATATCTCACCACTGAAACAATCGTTATCATATCTCACCAGCGAAACATTCGTTACTATATCTCAACCCTGAAACAATCGTTATCATATATCACCAATGAAACAATCGTAATCATATCTCACCAGCAAAACAATCGTTATCATATCTCACCAGTGATACAATCGTTATCTTATCTCACCAGCAAAACAATCGTTATCATATCTCTCAAGTGATACAATCGTTATCATATCTCAACGGTGAAATAATCGTCATCATATCACCTGTTAAACAATCGTTATCATATCTCACCAGTGAAACAATCGTTTTTATCATATCTCACCAGTGAAACAATCGTAATCATATCTCACTAGTGATACAAACGATTGTCATATCTCACTGGTGAAATAATCGTTATCATATCACTCAAGTTAAACAATCGTTTTCATATATCATTAGTGAAACAATCGTTATCATATATCAACAATGAAGCAATCGTTACGATATCTCATCATTGAAACAATCGTTATCAGATATCACCAGTGAAACAATCGTTATCATATCTCACAAGTGTAACAATCGTTATCATATCTCGCCAGTGATACAAAAGTTATCATATCTGACCAGCGAAACAATCGTTATCATATCTCACCAACGAAATAATCGTTATCATATCACTCCAGTTAAACAATCATTTTCATATATCATCAGTGAAACAATCGTTATCATATATCAACAATGAAGCAATCGTTACGATATCTCATCATTGAAACAATCATTATCATATCTGACCAGCGAAACAATCGTTATCATATCTCACCGGTGAAATAATTGTCATCATATCTCTCCAGTTAAAATCGTTATTATATATCACCAGTGAAACAATCGTTATCATATATAACCAATGAAACCATCGTTTTTATATCTCACCAGTGAAGTAATCGTTATCATATCTCACCAGTGAAATAATCGTTATCATATCTCACCAGTGAAGTAATCGTTATCATATCTCACCAGTGAAATAATCGTTATCATATCTCACCAGTGAAACAATCGTTATCATATCTCACCAATGAAACATTCGTTATCATATCTCACCAGTGAAACAATCGTTATCATATCTCACCAGTGAAACAATCGTTATCATATCTCACCAGTGAAACAATCGTTATCATATCTCACCAGTGAAACAATCGTTTTCATATCTCACCAGTGAAATAATCGTTATCATATCTCACCAGTGAAACAATCGTTATCATATCTCACCAGTGAAACATTCGTTATTCATATTTCACCAGTGAAACAATCGTTATTATACATCACCAGTGAAACAATCGTTATCATATCTCACCAGTGAAACATTCGTTATCATAGTTCACCAGTGAAACAATCGTTATTATACATCACTAGTGAAACAATAGTTATTATCCCTCACCAGTGATACAATCGTTATCATATCTCACCAGTGATTCGTTATCATATTTCACCAGTGAAAAAATCATTATTATACATCACCAGTGAAACAATCGTTATTATACATCACCAGTGAAACAATAGTTATTATCCCTCACCAGTGATACATTCGTAATCATATCTCACCAGTGATTCGTTATCATATTTCACCAGTGAAACAATCGTTATCATATCTCACCAGGGAAAACATTCGTTACTATCAGGGAAAATATTCGTTACTATATCTCATCAATGTAACAATCGTTATCATATATCACCAATGAAACATGCGTTACTATCTCTCATCAATGAAACAATCGTTATCATATCTCACCAGTGAAATAATCGTTATCATATATCACAAAAGAAATGCTCAAAGATAAATTTACGCTAATATCTGTGTAAATGGTATCATCATACGATTTGACGAAATCAACCTTTTATTTTTATGAATTGTTTAATGTAAAACTCTTAATAGATTAAACAAGATACTGGGAAAATAGGACATTTTGGCCTGTAATTGACATAAACAGTATCGAAAATTGAGGTAGCTAACTCTGAATCCATGTTAGTTAAAATTACAGGTATACGTATAGAAATATTGGCAGAATGAAAATTTCATGAGAGAATTTATGAAAATGTTGCATTGTCTTAGAATATGATAACAAAAACATTTTAAGGAAAGACAAAGGAAGGAAGGAAGGAACGAACGAACGAACGAATATTTTATTCATGGTGATTAGAATGTTTTTAAATAACAAGTGTTTTCAAACTGAACAGTTTGGTGTAAAATAATCATGTTTTTCTGAAAAGATTTCTATTACAATTTCAGATAGCCTTTTCACAGTATTGAAGTTCTAATTTTGCACGTAATTTAAGATCTAGTTAGCACGAGCCTTAACGTGTACAGTTAAAGACTTTTGTTTCACACAGATATAAAATAAAAAGTTAATTTGAAAACGTGAAATTTAATTGATATAAGTTGGGCGTCAAAGGTATAGATAAAAGTTATATAGACATCAAGATTTTATTGTCGTTTGACAGTTGTGGCTTGAGTTTAAAACAAAATATTGTATCCGCAAAAAAGACACTGCTTTCATCTAAATACTTGAAGCTCGCAAAAAATAAGAATATTTTTTTACACGAAGACGTTTGATTGTAGTTTTATCTTAAGTTCGCAACACTTAGCCATATGTCATTAAGTGATAGTTCAACCTTTTGACTTTTTTACTGACTTAATTGATGTTTAAATATTCATAGAAATGTTGTGATTTTCCAACTAACAGAAAAATAATTACTGATCTTTCATGCTTTTCATTTTATGACGGTGGGGGAGGGAGGTAAAAAGTTTTAATTAAATGATAATAATTGATAAAAAGGTTAATACGGCGAGTGCAAATGTCAGAGTTTAGGGTATGTATACATTTGTGAATGACTTTTCTACGTATCCGAATGTACGAGTTAAAAGTCTGATTACTATCTCGAAGCTCTTTAATCTGCCTTGTTACAGGTAAATTCGCCTTTGATGTACCGCCAGTTGTGTGTATAAAATACTCGCGCTCTATATCGGCCCTAATAACTACAGAGGACCACAAAATGTGTTTAACTTAACTTTTGAACGTACGTTTAACACCGGCAGAACAGGAGAGATGTGTGAAGTGTCTTTAATTTAGGGTGTGACTTAACTTAAAAGGCGGTGCTAAGGGGTTTAAGCTTAAATACAATTTAAACTGATTGAAGACGGAAAGGACGAAAAAATCGAAAAAGTTAAGCATTTAATCTCTACACTGATACTATTATTGGAATAAAAGAGAAGAATTAAGCTTAATGTTCTTACACAAATTAATATTGAATGAATAAAAAAACACGCACACCGGAAAAAAATACAAGGGAATTTATTACATATTTCAAAACATACGTTATTTATACTCTTCAATAAAATATAGCGGATTTTGTACAATTTTTTATATTTTTTTTTAATATTATAACTTAAATTAGGAAGGATCAATATAAAGATGACAATTTAAAATATTGAAGACAAAAAAATGAAAACATTTTGGAAGTAATGCAATGTGAAATACTAACAAAGTGGACATAACATATCTGGGATAAAATAAATCGTACAACTTTAATTGACCAACCAAAAGGGTAATGATAAAAACACGGAATTATATAGGTGTTATAGTAAATAGAAAAAAGCATGGATACATTTGCAAAAGACACTAAAACATTTCTACTATATCTGTGTTCTAACACGTGGACGTAATTCTCATCTCAGAAAAGCAAATTGTAACCTGAAATTACATTCAATCTGTGGACATCTAAAAGCTCTCAGCTGATGGTCAATTTGTTAACAGGGCTTAAAAGCTGACGCGAGCAAAATGACAATAGGTTCTGTGTCATAACAGACATTTTAATAAGAAGATGACTGTCGTAGTGCTACTTTTATGGATATATGGGGCTTGTGTTACGGTCATGGCATTCTCATACTCAAATAACGACCACAGGGCTTCTAATGATATAAGTTTGGATTTTGAGCATTTGGAACGCTTAGGACAGACGGACAGTCTTATCAAAGCGTTGAAAGATATTGCACGGAGTTCACACGATTGTGGTGTACGGGATGTACCGAAATTACGGCGTAAATTCCTTACTAACGATAGTGTCACGTGCAATGATGGCTCGCCTGCAGGGTAAGCGACGTTTTCATTGATGTTTTTGTTTTTTGTTTCCTTTAATTGTCTTATTAAGGTTGTTGTACACCGTGTTTTTAAATGTATAACTGTTATATATATATATATATATACACCAGTGTTTAAATTTTAGAATTTATTTCACTAGTTGTGATGCTGCCTTAATAAATTCTTTCCAAACAATAAGCAATGACAATTTTTAACAATTTTAAACAGACAACTTAACAAGAATTTTTTGCGGTGCTTAACTTGGATGAAAAAAGTTGACAAAGCTCTTAAATCGTACTTGAATTATTCTTAATTACTCTTACATCTTATTTTTTTTGTAAATAAAAGAAAGATAATGATTTAAATTAAAAGATAAAGTCTGTGAACTTGTTATAAGCAGAGCTTTAATCATTGTCGTGATTGAAGAATGTAGAGTAATAGCAATAATGATAGGAAAGATTTATTTCAGTCTTATATTCTATATAAAAAATATACGGCCTAATTGCACCCCTTATCATTTTGATAAACAAATAAGTGTTAATCTTAAATACGTCACCGGAGTAGCGAAACTATACATTTAATATATTTTGACCACTGGTCAGATTATCCCTAATCTTGAAAACTCTTGAAAATTAATTATTATTGTTGGAAATTGACCATCGCTGCCACGATTAAAAGACAACAACAACAACAACAAATGATGCGATTTTCTTTGACCACTGCTTCAGTACACGTGCGATTAAAAACAATTGTTGTTATTTGATCACTGCTATGTCTGGTCATCTCTGTATAAAAGTAATTGGCGTGACTTGACCTTTGTCCTGTCCTGTCTCTCCATTGGTTATTAAGTACTGGTATTATGACGACCAGTATTCTTTAATTGAATAATCAAATTTGATAATTAATTGTTTAAACACTTATGTTTATTTCCTAACCGTAACAAATGTCATTTTTCTGTCCGTAGTATATGTATATGTCATATACATGTATTATGATAATATGTCCATTTGATATATGACCAGTATGGTGTACGTAAATTGACCACAATCACAAAATATTATCATGGAAAACAAAAAGTTGTACGAGTTGACCAATGTGCACTAGACCATCCCAGCACTATCTTAAATGACAAATTGGTACTGAGAAATTTTCTCTGCGATATATCTAAAAGTAGCGCGTTTGAACTAAATTTACGTTCCCTTTGATGTTGAACGGTGTATGTCAGTTTTACTGGTGGTTGTAGGAAAAACAAGTCATAGTATGAAATACCAGAAAGATGCCTGATTAACTAACTATCAGCTGCCTTCTGTTTCGATACAGGTAACCTGTAAATAAGCGAAATTGTAACAATAATTTGTAACTGTTTCCAACATATATTGGAAATAAATCAAATTCTCTGTTTGATTGAAATAGGGCTTTTGAATTATAAATTCGAGAAGATTTAGTGTTTAAAGGCCCAGGTCGACGTAGAATCTTAATGCATAATGTCGGGTGATGTTTAAAGATACAGTGTAACCGCTGTATAGCAACACCTCTTGGGAGTCAAAGAGATATATATAAGACTTACGTTTGTGACATGTTCGATATAGAAATATTTCGTCATTTGCCTTACGTCAGTATGTTTAGAAAAACAAACGAAATTTATTTCATTCTGTATACATATCGAGGGTTGACAGCAAACTGCAGTAAGTTATATGAAATAAATAAGGACTTACAGCTGTTTTGCGTTCATCCATCGATATATAAAACAACGTCTGCGTATTACAGCATTAATTTACGCAAAAACGTTTCATATTTGTTTTCAAATGCACGTTTAACATCACATATTTAAACGCAAAAAGAAATTTTGTTCGCATATTTTGCATACACACTGTATTGGTATGTTTAGACAACGAATCGAATTATTTTATCACATTATTTTAAGGTCCGGAAATAATTCGGTCAGTGTCCTGATACGGGTCAGTGGCACATTTAATGCGTATAAATTTATTCCTTTAAGTATAAACTTGGTTAAACATTGGTTAATTTTGATATGGTAAAAATCAGCAAATTTTTCGATGTTAACATTGGAAAGCAACTGTACCAGTTTTTAGCTGTGCCTCAATCAACCCACTTTTGATAATTTGACATAATAAACATCAATAATTAAAAACCGTTATATCCTTAGTTTGATGCATCAATCTAAAAAGGTTTGTCACGTTCTAAAAGGTTTGTCACGTCTTTATAAATGGATTTTTAACGGGTTTTTCTAAATTGGATAGGTAACTTTTCTCACTTAAAAGGGTTTGTCACGTGCTCTTCTGATAACATTTGCCCTCTATATTTCTGAAAAGATGTGCCGCATATGTCTTTCTAGGGTTTGTCACGTTTTTATTATAAAGGTTTGTCATGTTTTTTTACATATAAGAGATTGTGACGTTTTTTATATTTTAGGGTTTGTCACGTTTTTTATAAATGAGGGTTTGTCACGTTCCTCTTAAATATAAGGGTTTGGGACCTTCTTTTATATAAAGGGTTTCTCACGTTCCTTATATGTTAGTGTTTGTCACGTTCCTTTAAATATAAGGATTTGTCACGTTTCTTTATGTAGAAAGGTTTGTCACGTTCTCTTATATATAAAGGTTTGACACGTTCTTTTATATATAAGGGTTTGTCACGGTCTCTATCTGAAAGAGCTTATAACGTTCCTCTTTCTTAACGGGATCGCCATATCTTTTTCCTAATAGGTTTTGTCACAATGCAAATGTTATAAAAAATAGTTCTCCAGTTATTTTCAAATTTCATCATCAGTAAACATTTTAATCTCTGGTGCATATCGCAAATTTGCAACATTTAACATAAAATAAAAATCCAAACGCTTTGTTGTTCTTATCTTGTGATGAATTCATTTTACTTCAGTATGTTTTTCGACAATGATTAAACGCCAGACATATTTCTATGACAGATATAATAATTTATATATAATACAAACGTGAAATGACCTTTGTTTAAAGCCATGCAAGAATTCATATAATATTTACGTATGAACCTTTACATGAAAGAACGCAGCGATGAACATCAATGAATACTATGCGTGTATAATTTGTTTATTTGTTTGTTTTTGTTCTAATCTTTTGATGAGGGCCAGATATTTCAAATAAATTTTTTCTACCTACATAGCACGTTACTGGAATCTGATTTAGACTTTGAACCACTTCGAGCAACTCTGAGTAAAAATCATGCCAGGGACCTTGAATGCGTTCTTCGAATCTATACGTTCAACCTTATATTTTTGTATAACTTTGATTATAAGTACTCTTTATACAAGCAATGTAGCTATAACTTAGCCTGAGTAAGCAATTAAAGTTATTGTACTCTTTATGCAAGCCTGGGAAAGCAATCAAAGTTAATATTTTCTTTATGCAAGCCAGGTGTTTATTATTCAGCCTGATAAAAAATACTCTTTATACAAGCAATGTAGCTATAACTTAGCCTGAGTAAGCAATTAAAGTTAATGTACTCTTTATGCAAGCAAGATAGCTATATATAAGCCTGGGGAAGGAATCAAAGTTAATATTTTCTTTATGCAAGCAAGGCGTTCATTAATCAGCCTGAGCAAGCAATTCAAATTAATGTACTCTTTATATAAGGCAGCTCTAAATAAGCCTGAGTAAGAAATTCAAGATAAATACTCTTCATGCAAGCAAGGTATCTATAAATATGCTTGAGTAAGCAATAAAGTTAATATACTCTTAACACAAGCAAGGTATGTCTAAATACGCCTTATCAAGCAATCAAATTTAATATGCACTTTATGCAAGCAAGGTATGCCTTAATAAGCCTAGGTAAGCAATCAAAGTTAATGTTCACTTTACGCAAGCAAGGTATCTATAAATTCCCCTGATTAAACAATAAAAAGTATATCGACTCTTTATACAGGCAACTTTATACAGGCAAGGTATGTCTAAATAAGCCTGAGTAAGCAATTCACGTTAATTACTTTTTATGCAAGCAGTGTATCTCTAAATTAGCCTAGAGTAAGCAATTCAAGTATACATTTTCCTATATTTTGTACGAAGAACAATTATAAAAAAGATATGTTATTAATATGCAATTAAAAGAACACAATTCAAAGAACGAAACAGAATGTAAATCAATAGTTTATTGTACAAGTAAGTTAATAAACAAAAATGTTATGTATGTCAGTCAATGTACAAATGTCTTATGTACAAGATACCTGATACTCAATACTCAATATTCACGGGTGCTATGTATAAAGCATTCAATGTACAACTAGGCTATGGCATTCAATGTACAAATAGGCTATTGCATTTAATGTACAAATAGGCTATGGCATTCAATGTACAAATAGGCTTTGCAATTACAAATAAAACATTGTACAAATGGGATATGTAAAAGAGTACAGGTAACAATGTACAAATGTCCAATGTACAAGTAAGTCAATTCATGGCCAGGCTTTGTACAAAAAAGACGATGTACAAATGGGCTATGTACGAGCAAGAACATGTACAAATGTGATATGGGAAAAAATATGTACAATATACAAATGACCTATGAACAAGTAAGGCCATGAACAATTGTACTTAATTTGGTCAGTCACCTTTGTGAAGGCTTTTATTGTATAAAGTCGTAATACATTTTGCTTAATTCGTTGTTTACAGATTCTATATATGAGAAGTACTAGTACCTATGGTGGCATATTTCCTGCCACCAGATAACCATATAACTAACTAGTTAATTAAGAGGTTAATTAGTTACGTAACTAGTTAACCTCTAAATTAACTAGTTAGTTATGTGGTTAACTAGTTACGTAACTAGTTATTTTTTCAATAGATAAAAGATCATAACGGGAAATAAATGCATGTTAGTGCCTACAACTGCCATCCTTTCATTATTTTACAAGCTTAATATTAAGTGGTTAACTAGTTACGTAACTAGTTAACCTCTTAATTAACTAGTTAGTTATATGGTTATCTATAAATATAAATATATATTTACGACACGAGATACCA